AGATTTAGGTTAGATATCAGGAAAAACTTCTTCATGGTAAGGGTGGCCAAAATTTGGAATGGGCTTCCAAGGGAGGTGGTACTCTCCCCTACCTTGGGGGTCTCTAAGAGAAGGTTGGATAGGCATCTGGCTGAGGTCATCTGACCCCAGCACTCTTTGCTGCCTAGGCAGGGGGTCAGACTTGATGATCTGCTGAGGTCCCTTCTGACCCTAGCATCTATGAATCTATGACCTGGCTTTGTGCCCCCGGCCCCTCCCCACTCACTCTCCTGCCTGGCCCCAGCCCTCCCCCACTCACCAACAGTAGCAGCAGCAGTGGGGGCTTCTCGGGGATTCATGACACAGCCACCCTGCACAGGGGGCAGTGGGGCTTGGCCCCAAATGCCTGGCACCCATGCTGCCACATCACGCTGGTGCAGCCCAGCTCAGTGGGGCATCACACACTCTCTCAGAGCTCCAGCTGCTTGGGTTGAGCAGCGCCAAGCCACAGGTGACAGACACAGCACCCCCAAGCTTCCAAACAGCACACAGCACCCTGCTAAGCTGGGCCGCACCGTGAGATACAGCAGCTGCAGCACAGATGCCAGGTGGCCTGGGCTGAGCCCCACTGGCCCCCTGCCATGCAGGCAGGGCTGTGCCATGAAGCCCTGAGTGGCCCTGACTGCTGCTGCTGCTGCTAAGCTGCAGGCAGTGCGGGAGGCTGAAGCCAGGTGTGGCAGTGATAGGAGAGCAGGAGCTGATCAGGGAAATCTCTGAATCATCTCCAGCCTCCTTCTCATTCTCCTACTCCTCTCCAGCCCCAGAGGACTGGAGACAGAGCAGGAGAATGAGCAGGGGGCTGAAGACAAGCAGAAGGCTGGAGACAAGCCCCTGAAGATGAGCTGGAGACATTCCCCTGCTGTCTCCAGCCTCCTGCTCATCTCCAGCCTCCCAAGCCTGGAAACGAGCAGGGGGGCTAGAGGGGGTGGGGGGTGTAGCTAACTCAGGAAAATCCTATGGAATGTACTATGATAGTGCTCATATCAAAACAATCGCTTCCTGCCTTTAATCTTTCAACCAATAAAACAGGAAGCAGGCAATGTAGAACCAGCCAGGAATAGAATAAAGAAAATGATTATTGAACAGATGTATGCTTATGAGGTCACCCAGACAGGGTATAGAAATGAGGGATGGATAGTTGACTAACTCTTATGATACTCATACAGAAAGGACAAGAGGCAAAAGTGCTGAGGAGATACTGAAAGAACAAATCAAAGAGAAAGAAAACCAATCTTGCTAACACATTTTGCAACTACCAAAACTTCAGCAACTGCAGCTGCTTAAGGATATATGACTAGTCTGCTTTATTCAGAACACGAAAGATCGATCTTTCTAATACTAAACAACGGGTTTGTATACCTGAGCACCTATACACGTGCATCAAGGCTACTCCAATGCACTGTAATTAGTGTGTCACCAGAAGACTCGATTAATCAAGTCTGCTGAAGCATGGTAATTACCACGCTCCAGCAGACTCCAGCATTCCCGTGCTGAAAAAATGGCAGCAGGGATGCTTTAACTAAAGGTCATTCAACAAATTTTGCTTAAAGCGCCCCAGCTGCCACTTTTCAGTGTGGGGACGCTGATACATATGACATTCCAGACACTTTAATTAGAGCAGCTTTCAGAGCCACTCTAATTAAAGCACCCCCCACCTCCATGCACAGCACATGTATAAATGCCCCCAAAGACTAGTGTATGTAGTATAAACTATAGTATCGTATAACTATAGTATAACTTAAGTCAAGTCCACTTAACATGATAGGTGCTGTGCCTTTTTAAAACAAAAACAAAAACAAAAACAACAGTTTCATAAGAATATATTTGAGTACTGAAAGGATTATACACTGAAAATCCCAAGAATTCCTTACCTTTTAAAACTTCATTGATATAATTCTGTATGTAATATATTCTCAGCTTATCATGAACCACATTCTGATCATCATCAATTCCATTGGCTAAAATATAAATTGGGACATCACCATACTTAGATTTAATCCACTTGAGCAATTTCCGCAACCCCCAAGGCACCACAGCAGTTCTGCTGGGGGAGTTCAGCCACGTGATGTCATTTATCATTTGAACTTCAAGGTAGTGATCATATTTCAGTGGATCTTCTTTTTCCCAGTCCACGAGGATAGTCGTATAATGACTTAAGGCAAAAAAATCATATGAGCCTTGGATTAATTTCTTTTCGTCTTCAGAGAAATAAGGCAAATGGAAATTATATAAATCAACACTGTTTCTTTGGTGAAGCCATTCTCTCATCACACGGGGGTAGTCACCATTCCCAAAGACGGGCTCGGCAAGCCATCCAATATCAAATTCCAAAAGTCTATCAGCAACTTCTTGATCATTTTTGGAAAATGGGCAGGCTGGCTCCGCCCAATCAGCTTGCAGAGCTATAGATATTTTACCTTTCTGAGATCTTCTGAACTCTTTATCATATAGGTGCCAGGCCTTAGCATGGGCTTTCAACAGATTATGCCCTGCAGTGTAAGTCAGGTTCCTCACATAGGGTTCATTCATTGTGATCCAAAATTTGACACGGTGACCAAGATTTTTAAAGCAGAGCCTGGCATACTCAACAAAGGCTTGGATAGTCTCTGTGTTCTCCCAGGCTCCATATTTTGCTAATGAGAGAGGAAGCCCTTGGTTCTCTGCCATAGGCTGCCACAGAGCAACAACTGGAGTTATATTGACTCGGAGAAGTTCACTAACAAAGCACTGATAATAATGTAAAAGCGTGTGGTTGATTAGAGACAGGTTACCCAAAGGAAGAATCAAAGACCATTTCAGTGAAAAATGGAAATGTGTGACATGCGTTTCCTGCAGCAGAGAGATCTGTAGTCTAATAGCGGCAAAGTCAACACAATGACGCTTGCGTTTTGGGGCAAGAATCCCATCAACTTTAATAAGTTTCTTAGTTTGGTGAACATCCCACAAATACACGTTAGGGTCAAGGAACTGGGAAGGAATTATGTCTACCTAAGAAGAAAAGAGAAACATTAGAGTTGATTGATCAGATCTAATTACTCAGAAAATTCATAGCCATCAAACACATTTTTCCCACTAATAGTCATAAGCGAAATATTGCTTTTAACTGGGAATTGACTCAGAATAAATGCACATTTTCCCTTCTAACACATCCACCATATCTTCTGTTACCCTTTCTGATTCATACAAATGTTCTGTGAAAGAATCTAGGGATGACTCGGGGACAACCAATGAAAATCTATAAGGATAACACAGAAACCCTATGGTTCTATGAATAACTTACATTTTAAAAGAAATTTCTTTAAAATAAAGATGTACTGGAAACTTTTTGCCCATTAAAATTTCCTTAATCCTTCCTTCTACAAGAAACAATTGCTTAGCATATAACAAAAATAAATAAATTATTTGGGATGGTGAAGAAAAGAAATAATTCTCTGATTTTGATTCTTAGCATGTTTTCAAGTAGCAAAAGAAAATGTTGCTTTTTCATGAAGAAATGCCCTTCATTCTACTACTATACTGAACTAGGAAATGCCATTCATTCACTGCTAAGCTATTAGATTGTTTTCTGAATTGTAATTTTTGATCTGATCTCTGACTTATCTTAATCACTCAGACAATAAATAAATTTCCCAAAAATCTTTTGGGCCCCAGATATGTGAAGCACATGTTCTACCCACTGAAGCCAGTGAGAGGGGTAGACACTTGGGGCTTCTTAGCATCATACATTTTTAAATCTTTTTTAATAAATACTACAAACAAAAAGGGCTGTAAAGTGTGCTGTTTAAAAATACTGCACACAATAAAACCTTCTTTCTCCTTACCACAACAGCTTACCTTTCATAGGAAAAATCGTACAAAAAATGTATGCCTGACTGTGCCAATTATTTTTCTTTATAAAATACACCTTTAAGCACAAATTTCCTTGACTGACCCTCTGTTTCAAAAGCAGGTGTCAGCCTAAACCCAATGTTGGGCCAGTAACTGAGGCTCTGTAGAACTGTACAGGGCTGCTGCAAATCAGTTGTTTTTTCTCAGGAGAGGTCAGCGCTGTGCTTATAAAGGTAGGTAATAAAAACGGCATGTCAGAGGGAAATTGCTTTTCTGGAGAATTGTCCCTTGTAAATTACTAAAGCATGCATTTCCACTAATACTGTAGGAATGCTGTCAAAAGTGTTTTTTCACTGTGATGCATCTACAAATCACACTACCTCAGCTTTACAGCATAAAATATTTGTATGTCCTTTTGAAATGAAAATATTCATTTTAAGAAGGGTTTGTTTATTTTTTAAACTGTCTCCAGATGACTGACTTAGTCAATGTATAGCTGTTATTGATCCCAAGGGCACCAGTTCCATTTCCAGTCTCAACTTATTTGAAATCTAGAAAGACAATGATTGTTGAATTTTCTTGGAAACCAATGTATCATGTAACCTGGATACAATGTTTCTCCAGAGTAAAAAAAGGGTACTTTACTTTTTGGGTGGCAAAGCTATGCTTCAGCCTTAAGAAAACTTTTGTCTTTGTGGAAAATCTAAACTAAAAATTCTACTTTTCGACCCAATCTGGGAACAGAATTTTACTGTACAAAAAGAAGGCTGGAAAGATATTATGTAGAAGATGCAGCTATAATAAGCTGGCAACTCCCCAAACCATTATGGTTATCCATCTAATATTACCAAAGTGAAAATGAGAGCAATATGCAGCAATATTATTTACTTCCAAGGTGATTTGGTTCAAGGGTCTGTTGGTTTTTGTCATCAAACTTACTTGAATGTAGTTGTCAACAATTCCCCAAGCAAAGTTGCATGGAAACATCCCAACTATTGGTTGATTTTCAGGCAAAGGCGGGAAGCCATTTTTTTCTATTAGCTTTTGGTAGAACAAGGCTGAAGACTTTGGCATAAATTTCTTGTCATGGCTTTCAAAATCAACGTAATATAATCCACGTCTAATGCTATATCCTCGGTGCCATTCAAAGCCATCCATGAGAGACCAAACAGTGTATCCAAAGACATCAACTCCATCATACCGGATGGCTAAGAGAAAGAGAAAAATCAAAACGGCTTCACATAGGTACCATCTCATATTAAAAACTGCTGTAGTATTTGTATGTCAGACCAATACAATAGGTTAAATTAATATCACTAACTTGATCAAAGCCCATTCAGTAAAGCTTTCAATCGAGTTCAGTGGGTTTTGGATCTAACTTACTACTTTGCCCAAAGAAATTATGCAAAAACAAAAGGACCTTCTCAAAAATTAAAATGAAAAAATACCAATTCAACATGGGCGGGTATCTATATTATGGATTTGTACTAACTGGGCATATCTACATGAGACACCGACTGCACAGTAGCTGAAAAATACTGAGCAGCAGCGCGTCACAGCATGGATAATGCTAATACACTATTGTGCAGTATTATGAGGCTACTGCACAGTAGCGTCACATAAAAGATGTTTGTCAGTGCTAATACATGCGTAGTAATGGCTGCACAGTAGCATCTCGTGTAGATGTACCCACTATCTACTCAGTGCAGATCACAGTGTTAATGCTGCAATATTTCTTTCATTTGATTTTCCAGACACCTCATATTTCTTGTTTTTAGAATGTTTTCTGGCTTAAATATTTATGCAAATACCTTATATCTGAAGTAGGATGCAAAACTGCTCCAGACTTAAGGGGCCTTCCAGCTTTACAGCTTTATTTTCAGATTTAGTGATTTGCATTTTTATAGATTTTCCTTTTTTCTAAATTTAAAATGCATAAATTTTTGTTAATTAAAAAAAACCAAAAGATTAGCAGAAATAAACCTGAGAACATGAACATAGGGACATTGCGGTCCTCTTAAAAAAAGAGGCATACACACAGTGGAAGCTAGGGATGGTCCTCAAAGAGGACTATACAACAGTGGCCAGCACTTGTAGGGAAATGATCAGGGAAGCCACAGCAACTCAGTTTAGGTTAGCTACAGGAGTCAAGGACAATAAAAAAGTCCTTCTTTAGGTATGTAGGCAGTAGAAAGGAAACAAATGGAAGTGTGGGACCTTTGCTTAACACCTCCAGATGGCTGGTAACTGACATTCAGGAAAAAACTGAACTCCTGAATGCCCACTTTGCTTCAGTATTTCACCAGACCAAGGGGAAAGTCAAGCAAGATAAGGCCCCTTGGGGACATGCCAGGACTGACAGCTTCCCCACTGTGAATGCTGAGTGGATGCGATGCCAACTAGAAAAGCTAGACATTTATAAAAGTCAGCAGGACCGGATGGACTTCATACAAGAGTGCTGAAGGAGCTGCCCAAGGTCATCGTAGAACCCTTAGCAAAGTTCTTTCAGAATTCGTGGCGCACAGCGGAAATCCCTGAGGATTAGAAGAGGGCCAACATTGTGCCCATCTTCAAGAAGAGGAAGAGGGAGGACCCGGACAACTATAAGCCAATTAGCCTAACCTCCATCCTAGGGAAAATCCTAGAAAAGCTCATTAAAGAATCTGTGTGTGCTATGCTCGCAAAAGGTAAGATTCTGAATGACAGTCAGCATGGCTTTGTCATTGGTAGGTCTTGTCTTACCAATCTCATCTCCTTCTATGACCAGGTCTCTCACCACCTGGACATGGGAGATGAGGTAGACATTATATACCTAGACTTCCAAAAGGCTTTTGATCTAGTATCCCACGATATCCTTGTGGGAAAACTGGAAGATTGTGGGCTCCGCTGCTCAATGGTTGAGTGCGTGGGAAACTGGCTACAGGGTAGGACCCAGAGAGTTCTCATGAATGGATCTGTGTTGTCCTGGCACAAAGTGGCCAGTGGTGTCCCTCAGGGGTCTGTGCTTGGACCAGTGCTTTTCAACATCTTTATCAATTATTTGGATAGGGGAGTGAAAAGTTCGCTGGCCAAATTCACAGACGACACCAAGTCATGGGGCAGTGTGGTCAAGTCAGAAAATAGGCTGCAAATACAGGCGGACCTGGACAGGCTTGAGAGTTGGGCAGACCGGAACCAGATGAAGTTTAACACTTCCAAGTGTAAGGTGCTCCATCTGAGGGCAAACAACCCTCAACATACATACAATCTTGGTGGTGACAGCTTGACTTGCACCATGGCCAAAAGGGCCCTAGGTGTAATGATTGACCATCGCATGAATATGACCTGTCAGTGCAAGGCGTTGGTCATCAGGGCAAAGAACAGGCTGGCATGCATCAACAAACGCATCCTGTGTAAACTAAGGAAGTGATACTCCAGCTGTACTCAGCACTGGTGAGATCACAGTTGGAGTACTGCATCCAGTTCTGGGTGGCACACTTCAATAAGGACATGGAAAAAACCTGAGAGGGTCCAGAAAAAAGCCACCCATATGATCAGGGACTTGCAAGGCAAACCATACAAGAAAAGGCTGAGGGACCTGGGCCTCTTTAGCCTAAAGAAGAGAAGGTTGAGAGAGGACTTGATAGTGACTTACCACTACATTAGAGGAGTGCATGGTGAACAACTGTTCACTAGGGCACCCTCGGGGAAGACCAGGATCAATGGATACAAACTCCTGGAAGACTTCAGGCTTAATACCAGGAAAAACTCCTTCACAGTCAGGGTGTCCAGACTGTGGAACAACGTCCCTCCAGTGGTGGTGCACTCACCTACCCTGGAGGTTTTCAAGAGAAGACTAAACAGTCACCTCGCTGGGGTCACCTAACCCCAGTTGTCTTCCACCTAGAGCAGGGTGGCTGGACCCAATGATCTGCAAGGTTTCTTCCAGCCCCTAACAATCTATGAATCAGATCTCCTGTTTTCCAGCTGAATATCCTAACCACTAAAATAGGGTCACCAACTATGACTCACAGGCCAGATTTGGCCTTCAAAGAGGTCTAATCCAGCATGAGGAAGTTAGTAGCATGGAGCTGTGCTGTCTTCAGTGACTAGCACTAGACATGCAATAATAAAAAACCTAATAAATACTCTATTTATAGTATTCTTCAGATCATAGATACATGTTGCACATTCACTCAGCTCTTACTTCAGTTATAATGATAAGGATTTTACAACAGCAAATGAAAAACAAGTGGACGTTCTTGGGATCTGTCATTTCAGCCAAGAAGCAAACAGAAATAATGTTCACTCTCTTAGAAAAAAACCCTGCAATATAACATAAATGCCATTTAATCAGAATCAATTATTAAGTCAATAGTGCTGAAAATAACACTGCAGCAAAAAAATCAGATAAGTGAATCAATTAAAAAGTCTTATAACAAAACATTAAGATAATTAAAATTAACAACTGGAAATAATCATCCCAACTGGTTATAGATGACAAGCAGGACTAAAAGAATTTGCTTTGCAATTTGAAAACACTAGAAATGAAAGCTGTCAATGAAATAAGCTGTACTTTCAACTGTTTAAATTAAGTAAAGTTTTTACTAATTGCTAAAAACCATGTAGAATCACATAAAACTTCAAGGACATCATTCTTCTCAAACTGAGACCAGTGTAAATAAGGACTAATTCCACTGAAGTCTTGATATGGGATACAAGAGAGAAATCAAGCTCAAAACCAGTTGGACTTTCATGTCTTTATATTAAAGCATGGCTGTCAACTCTAAATTGCATCCAGTGATGCTTTCAGGAAGTATTTCATTTTAGATAGATTCTTCTTTAGTAATTTGGTCACCTACCTAAAACACTTAAATTACTATAATTACTCACAACACAATTAATACAGAGATAATATCATTCACAAAGAGCTTACATTGCTCCCACTGAAACCAAAAGGGCACCTACATATGAGTAGCGAGGCTGCTCTGACGCATTACAATTACAGCAAGTTGGAGCAGACTAGATTAACTGAATCTGCTGGAGCACAGTAATTATTGCACTCCAGCATCTCATGCATCAGCATCCCTGCACTGAAAAATGGTGGTGGGGCACTTTAACTAAAGCTCGTTCAATGAGCTTCAGTTAAAGCACCCGCGTCGCCATTTTTCAGCACAGGGATGCTGATACACAAGGCACTCCAGGGGCTTTAAGCAGAACACCTCAGAGAGCTGCTTTCTGAGAAACTCTAATTAAAGCTTCCCCCCCATCCCCCCACCCCCCAGACCATGTGTATAAAATGCCCAAATGTTTTACAATTGGTTTTAACAACAGACCAGAATAGGACCAAAGAAGTGATGCCCATATATATTACAGGCATTGACAGTTGATGCTGAATGTCAAAAAATTATTTGGAATTTCACTGCATAATGAACATGTATAAAACCAAAATTAAGTTTCTAAACATTTGTTTAATGATCCTCCTTAAGATATTTTGCACAATAGGTTTTGTCAGTGTGTGAGTTCGTGCCAAATTATATAAGGACTGAATTAAGCACAGGCTTAGACCTGGATGTTCAATTTAAAAAACT